CTATTTTTGTTTTCATATCATTATTTTGTCTTTATTATACTTTTAGAATTTTTGTTACTGCATTAATATTATTTATAATTGTGTTAACAAAAGTAGTTCGTTTTAACTGAATTTGTGTAAACTTCCAAATAAAATTATTTATTTGTGATTTCTTTGTACTATTGTTAACATTATTATTATTATGTTATTTTATGCATGCACTATGTGAATCAAATATTTCGATGTGTATGTGAATAAGTTTTGCTGCATTGTGGCTGATTCTAACAATGTAATCAATTATTGATTGTACAATATTGCGTCACTTAACACAATATACTCGTACGTTTAGTGTAGCATAATCAGTATACGCTATTAATTAGTGTATTAAGTCTATTTTAGTGTTTATAATATACATACGATAAAATTTGATCTATAATGTTATACGCCATGTAATAGAAAATATTTGCAGAAATTTATATCATTTATTATTTTTTAAATTATCTTTTTAAAAATATTACTGAAATCTCACAATTTATTTTAGAATTAATATTACAATAAATGTTTGATTTTAGAATGAGGCGCTTCTCAAATGAATATATAGAGTATGCTATATGATACGATTATGCGACTAATTTCAAATCATAATAAGCATGTCCCTACATAGCATATTTGAATGCAATAGCAATAATGTAAAATATGTAATATAATTGGCTATTACAAGAATACGTAGTATGATACACGTATAATAACATCAATTTAACCGAGTAGAAATTATCAGTAAGATAAATGTTTGACATATTTTTAATCATGGAAAATCTTCCTGTAATATACAATAAATAGACCTATTGTAATAATTAATATTTAAATTTAATGCGTAATTATAAATTACAAATTAATTATAGAATGATATATGTTAATATGTAATTTTGTAATTATAAATTATGCAAATTATGAATATATAAATCTATAATCACAAATTACAAATTATTAGAGAAACAGTAATTATTTATGAATCCAGTTGAATAAATTGTTGTCACACAAATATTCAATTTTTAAACTAAAATGCTAGATCTTTATTATATATATGTATATATTGAAATTTCGAAAATAAATATGCTAAATCTACGTTTCTCGTAAATATCTTATGTTATGCACTGAAGTGTGTATCATATTCGTGATTGTTTAAATTTTACCGTCATTATTCGAAGAATTAAGTTTTCCCTATTCTCTTTTATGAATGATATCGCTTAAATTCCTTTACACAAGCTTCTCTCTCTCTCTCTCTCTCTCTCGTTTCCTGCTTTCAATTTCTGTCTTCTTCATTCTCACTTGTGCGATTCACTTCCAGAGTAAACATTTGTATAACTTTCACCTCGCTTCACATTTACTCGCGTCTTGCAGTGAATAGTTCAAAGTAAATGCACGTGATTGTTTACTTGCACTCTTGCCAAGAATTTAAGGTCTTCCGCTCGTCAATTTTCCTAATTAGTGCTAATTATTTGAGCGCATGCGTGCGGAAAGTTGCGAGCCAGATCAATTTTATGCGTATGAGCTTATTCGTGGTCTTTATAACATATCAAACTGATATAAAATCATGCGATTGTGTAAGATTATCGGTGTTATGAACAATGTAAAACTAATTTTTTCAGTAAGTACCTAATACATTTTTTCGAGGTTTACTCATAAAAAAATCAAAGTTCACTTGATCTTTCGACTCAGCTACATTTTTAATAATCAAATCTATATATTATGAGCTATTGTTACTAGTTATTTTCGGAGAGCTTGGATACGTTATTGTATGAGTTCGCTATGGTAATGATTTATTGATGTGAAATGGCATATAGGTAACCACAAAGCGCAAGACAGAATCAAATACATCGAGAATTCGGTTTAATTGAAAACCTCAATGATGCGATTTAATTCTAGCTAAACCAAAATACAGTAGTCCTTTCTGTTATTTGAATATTCGGATCTTAGAAAAGCTTTCTGAAATTCACACGATAATATTTTGATTACTTATTACATATTCTGATGTTCTAGTATAGCTTAATAAAATTATTTAGAATATAAAATGACTTAAAGTGATATGATATTTATGAATTATTTTTTGCTAATTGCCAAATTTTGAAGACAGTGTCAATACTTTACTCCGATATCTGCGGCACATAATTTCTGTAGATATATAAAGAGCTGAGGAAGTTGAAACCACTTGGAAATCCGCAAGAGAGGAAATTATCGAGGCGTCCAAACTTCGACGGTCCGTAGAATAAAATTATGCGACAGCTTTTGCAGCTTTTGTTTCGTTTCTTACATAAATTATGAATAATCCCCTAAGTTCTTCCTTTCCAGAACTTATGTCGTCGCAAGACGAGAGTTGATTTTAATATATTAATGATAACTATAATCAGACTATATATGATAATAATAATTTAAAATATATTTACAATACAATAAAATCATATATAAAATAGATATATTATAACGGAGAAAAAGATACTTTGACTAATAATAACGATTATTATTGTGCATAACATAAATGTGTAATCTTCTATGTAAAAATATATTACAAAATCAATTAATAAATTAATATTAAATTAAAATTGTCATAAAATTGACATTTATCAAATGTTATTTGATAGTAAATTATTAAAAAATAATAATTATAAAAAGTTGAGAAGTTTTTTTTTTTTAAAGAATATTATATATCATATATTTGTATTTTTGGATAAATGAGAGAAAAATTTTGCAAACGAATAAAACAAATTATTTCTATCAATTCCATTTTATTATGAGTTGCGAAGAGAGCGCGAAAAAGTTATATAGTATTGTCAGTTACAACCAAAACAAAATATAATAAAAATAAATATTGATTAACAAACATTTACAAAAACTGTTTTTTATATTTAATTTAATAAAATATGTATTACAATATAAATATCTACATAAAATGAAATTCTATTTGTAAAATAATTATTTAAAACGGAGAAAGAATATATTTCTACAGTTTTCAAATCACAATTGAATATGGTTCTACTTTAGGAAAATATATGCTTTCATGATTATTTGTATAAGAAATACGTAAGAACAATTAACGTTTCAAATAGTGGGCATACCTTTGGGTTGGCTCGCGCCGTAAATAACGGGCGACATGCTGAATTCTAGTCCAGTCCAACTAGAACGTAATTAGAAATCCGCCACAAGAATCATTGCCAAGTGCCGAGCTGATTGGGATTATTGCGCGCTACAAATTTAAATAACCTTAATTTCTCCAATAATGAAACAGCTATCAGTAACATATCTTGTAATATTTTTCATTCTTCAGAGTAATCACAAATAGCTAATTTATTTAATAACAATTAAATTTCGAAATTACCAATTTATTTCAGGACTTTTAATTCTAATCAGAAAGAATATTTTTAATGACTTATGACATCAAAAAATAATCAGCTGATTAAGTTTTATGGTGGTAAAATTTAGCCAGACATGTTAGAAACGTCCAATATAGCTTTAATCGAGACTAACATTACCGGGTTCACTTTCGCGTCGTAAAATCGGAAGCGAAACGACGATTCTTCGTCGATTAAATTCGCCGACGCGTCGATTACTAATTTTGACGTGCAAGCCAATATCTGCCCCAACCTCTGGGCTATCCCGCCGTATAACTGTCGATATATATATTTATAGAGAACAACTCTTTAATAAATACATGTATACACTGGCGTCGTGCCGGTGTCAATCGCCGTTCTGATATACCTGTGAAATCGATAATCGTTTCTCGTTTATTGGTGATGCGAGCTTTTTGATGATCTCTCGATAAACTTTTCCGTCGCAAGCAATCAAAGTTACAAATTGGATTCGTGCGACGAGCGACAGTGCAGTTATGCGCGATGTGTTGTAAAAATAACGTGGAATACTTATTGAAGATCTATAGCTGAAAAATCCACGCCGCACGATCCATGATAATTATTCCGTCAATTATTATTACCAATAAATGTCAATTCAATGTTGTTTAAGTCCTTAAGTGATATACAGGATTATGCGCAATGGCTTTGCTATGACCTTAATCGTATACTCAGTTTCCTTTAAATTGAATTCGATATGGTTATATCCGTCTTAAGCATTGCGATAAGATGGTACATGGCACGTACGCGCATACATCATTAAATGCATTAATAGGTTAAATTCAATATATAGATGTATAGCTATATATATTAGATGTTACGAGAGATTACACGATGTACTATATGTTAGTTATTTAAGACTAATTCAATACATGCAGATCTAAATTCGCTGTTTAACGATTGGGTATATCTCTAAGTAAAGGGTATAAAGCAAAATAAAACAAATAATAACAAATAGTAATGACAATGATGATTACAATACACGGGGGTATGTATAGCTTTCTAGCGTCAAAGGGACATTCGCGATCGCTAATTGGCGCGTCGTGGATTAATTAACGCCTCGCAATCCCATTGTGCAACAGTTCGTTTTCTACTTTTGCGAAATAACGCGTAAAACTAACGAGATCGTTAGTGGCAACCGACTATTTTTGCGGGATTAATCGATGCCTGTGCCGATTAATTGAATTAATCCATTATTCTCCTTTTTTCTCATTCTTTCAGCCTTTTTCTCAAAATAACGTGACAATGTGAAAATGAATATATATCTATATTAAATTAATTAAATAAATTTAAGTGCTTTTCTGAATAACGAAGATTGATATCGCATCCTTAATTTGTTTGAGATTCTATTTTAGATATCCGTGTGAGATTAACTTTTTATCTTCAATATTTTTCTTTTTGATTGGAAGATATACTGTGAAAGTTATTTCTGCCTTGGATAAATATTCTTTAGATATGTATTTATTATAAATTAAAAATTTTTTGCCAGGATAATCTTTGAAGTAATATTTTACGTGGACTTTGTGATTGATGCTTTTTTTTATGTTTTTTATTTCATTAATGTTTAAAATAGAAAAAGAACTAGATTTTGAACTCTCTTTTTTTCTCTAATGTTTTCAGGCGATGAAGATGAGTAAAGTGGGCAACCAGACCAATTCGCAGGACCCACAGGCAGTGAATTCACGCGTTTTCGTCGGGAACCTGAATACATTTCAATGTAGCAAGACCGATGTGGAACGAATGTTCCAACGTTATGGCCGCCTGGCTGGTAAGTTTAATATAGTAAAAATTATTACTGATAAAATTGAAGTCATTGATTGTGAGATAAAATCATTAAAGATTAAGTATCAAAAGCTCTGCGTACAGATTTTTATAAAATATATGTTTTAAACTGAATATACTGGAAAGTAGAATAATTAAAAGTAAACTACATAAAACGTAGCTAACAAGTAAAATGTTAAAAAATACCTGTTAAAAATATCTGTTGAAAAATATGCTTAATAATAGATCGTGGAGAATAAAAAGCTTAAAAATATCTTGTTTAAAAGCAAGTAATTTAAAAATTGGTAAAAAAATTCCATGCTTCTAAAAACGATATTATGAATATATATATACATATATTAATAATATGAATATATATATATTAATAAAAGAATTCATGCAATTATGGATAAACCTTTACAATCTAAAGATGTTAACAATAATATCGGAAAGAATAATACTGTTTGGTTTACCATCCCTTATGTCAAAGGAATTTCTGACAGTTTTAGAAGCATTGTTAATGGTATAAATCACAGAATTGCATTTTTTAGCATCAATAAATTGAATAACTTCATCAAAGTACAGAAGGATCGCCTTCCACATTTTATGAAAAATAACATTGTATATAAAATTCAATGTGGTGATTGTGATGCTACTTATGTCGGTCAGACAAAGAGAATGTTAAAAACAAGAGTTAACGAACATCGCAGTCATATACGGAGAAATACATCCTCCAGATCTGTTATCACTGACCATAGGTTGCAGCATAGTCATGATTTTGAATGGGATAGTGTGGAAATTATGGATAATGAAAATTTTTACCACAAGCGATTGATTTCTAAAATGCTAGATATAAAATCTCAAAATAATGGTCTGAATTTAAAAACTGACACGGAAGGTCTTGATCGGTCGTACGCAGATATTTTAGATAAATTGACAAGAGTAATTTGACCTAATCACTTCTATTTTGTTGTCAGCAATTTAATGTTCCTCATTGTATCGTTTCCTTCTGACGAATACGGACACATATGTTTTATTCAGACAATCTAGTATTATTAAATTATGAATTCAATTTGTGTAATTATGTTTTTGTCTACCAACAAGGGTGAATGTAAAAAATATTTTCTTTAATTAATTTTCTCTGGACAATCTTAAATAGAATAATATATGAATTTGATTGTAATAGATTGTGTTATTAACGGTCTTTTCACAGACATATTACCGACTTTTTAAATTTTGTTATACATCTCCACACATTATCGATGCATTTACTTCTGGTTGGTGCACAGAAGCATATTGTCAAACAATAATTGTTTTTACAATTGGCATTATAACTTGGAGTATATGGAGCATTGGTTTTATTATTACATGGTCGCTGAAGATGGTCTAAATCTCAGACCGAAACGTTCGACTGTATTCTTTATTGTAAGATTAAAATAATTTTTGTTAACTGCGTTCGACTCTTTATAGCCTTATAATTCATGATTGTTCATTTGTTTATATATATTAATATAATATAAAAGTATAAAGAATTTGATTTTATTTAAACTATTAAAATCTATATTTTATTTATGCATTTAGGATCAAATGTATCGCTTTATAAATAACAAATCCATATCTAGATCGACAAACTACCTGATTTCATTTATCTTCCCCGCATCTTAATTCGTTTCAATTATACTCCGCGGAAATTTAACAGCCTAGCGATTCCATCGGAATAATTTCTTCGCAATCCTTTCGCACACGCGCGCGAACGTTAATCCTGCGGGCGAGCTACGTACTTTATTTTCTGAATTTAAAAAAGATCACGATAATAATAAAGGTAAGGTAGCAACGCAAGAAAGATAAAAATCGATTATTGTGCGAAAAGAAAGAATCATTTGGTTATTTCCGAATGTTGTTCTCGATCCTTTCTGAGGTATTCTCGATAAATCGAATCGCGTGAGAAATCGACGGGCTGATAACATTCGATAATTCGCGATCGAATAACTTATTATCCGGCGCGGAAAAATTGCATCGGGAAGAATAGCGGAAGGGGCAGCGGGGTCCCGGGAAAATAGGATCTCGGTAACGCAATTTGTGCCACGGCGACTTGACCTTCGATAGCTCGAATTGGATATCCGTCGGTCTCTAGTTTCAGGAGGAGCACGATGACTGCCGCTGCCTTCTCTTCCTTTGTAAGCCGTAACCTCGTTTACTTCGCAATCGCAGGATTTGTTATCCCGGAAAATCATTTTTCCGCGGGGTCTTGTCCCTTCTTTGGAACGAAATTACGATTGCGATCTGGAGTGATAGATAGACGAACGATGATAAATCGAGAATGACCATGTGAGGTCGGCCATGATAGATCGACGATCGAGATAATATCAAATCTCTCGCTCTTTGTATTGAATTTATATTGTAAACTATTTATTACACGGAAAGGATAGTTTTTGTCGGAAAAGGATTTTGTCGAAGTATCTAAAAATTTAGCAAAATACCGATCTGAAAATATTCTAGCAACAAGTTTAAGCTGTACATGATTATTTTTTTGATAGAGTTCAAATAAAATTATTTTTAAATCTACATATATCTAGCTAAATTTTCAGATACTTTGACAACATTTTTTTCCGTGTATAATTCAGCACAAAATTTTCTCGACTTTAACGTTAATAACAAATTTATATAATCGATTTAATTTTTCCAAAACGTTCACACACAATATTGTATTTAAACGAAAATTTTATTATAGCAATATTTATCTGAAAATTTAGCTAAAGGATACAATTTTATTTGTTCTAACTCACTATATTAAGAATACAGCAAAAAACTGAATATATAGTAATGTAATAAGTAATACAATAAACTACCAACTGGATAAAATTATATAATAAGAATGAAGAATGCTGCAAAATTAGCTTCGTGCCGACGCAGGTGATGTTGGTGTTCGCCAAGTGCATCGCCGGATATCCACTGAGAAGTTATCTTGCTCCGGTCTGTCCAGCAAAATCGCAATTTCAAATGTCGGATGTCGAAATTACAAGGAACGCTGCTAGCTGCCGATAAACAGCTTACTTTCTCAATAAAGGACGAAGACAATAAGGGCAACTTCGTCCTTGCAGGAATTAAGGCGCGCTTGCTGGATTAGAGGGACGCCGATACGAAGGATAAGCCGCGTCCTGTACGGAAGCGACGCCGCGTGCAATGCGCGATAGCAGATAAATTACAAATTCTACGAATCGAATATCTCTTTCACAAACAACGTTTAACGTGAAAATGTATACAATCTCCGGCTTTCTGGAGAATTGCTTCTGTTTAAACTCCGGTTTAAAAACGAAATCCTCGACAAAGATCGTTCTCATTTTAGTAATTTTTCCGTGTAAACTTTATGTCTTTCTTACAAGACGAAACGAAGAAAGATTATTAAATGCGCATAAAAGTCGTAAACGTGGTTTTGCTGAAATATCTAAAAATTTAATTAGATACAGATTTGAAAATAATGTTGTTGGATTATAAAGATAATTATAGGACATTTAAGCTAGATGTTAAAATGTTAAAACTTTTTGCAGCATTGCTTATCATGTTTGAATTTCCTATATATTATATTTGTATTGATTGTCTAATAAAGCTATTTTCAAATCTGTAATCTAATTTTTTTTATATTTTAGGAAAATTCTGTAGCAACAATTCTGTCTTGTACTTTTGTTTTAGCCTAAAAAATACTTTAATACTAAATAAACAATACAAATAAGTAACAAAAGCCTATACGTATGAACTAAATTTTAGTACTTAAATATTTTAGTGTGAATTTCATACATATATCTAATTTTGCGAATTGCGCGCCAAAATTATCAATTTGAAAAAGGCATCGTAGAACTATTCAGTAATATTGCAAATTAAATTGACAAGCAATTTAATAATATCAATGCTAATAAGCATCTTAACAACTATAAATAATTTGTATTATAAATCAATAATAACTATCATATAATAAAAACTATAAATATTTATACCGTAAATCAATTTGAAAGAACAATTTTTTTACTAACATTTAAGCGTTGGTAATTTTGTAAGTGATCAAGTTTAAATATTTCGCTACATAATAAAAAAGATAATACATTTCTTTAATTAATAATTATAAATTGTTAATTTTTTAAATTAACAATTTAAAAATATTTAAATATTTTTTTAAATGAATTTTTTATTTTAATAAACTTTGTATGTATACATTATTTAATGTCACAAAAAATATATTTAATAAGATATATACATCATTTAATGTCATAAAAGTTATAGTCCACTTGACGCTATAAATGCTTTTAAAATATTTCTTGATTGGTCAATTAATATATAAAATTCTCTTTTTCGATTGATCAATCAAATGCTTATAGGAGCGTTTGAAGTGTCAAGTAAACCACACTAAAAAATATATATTTAATATCGAAAAAGGAAAAACTGTGGCAAGCACAATCAATTTTTTTGGTTACGGAAAATTCAATTTTTAGTTATTCAAAAAACTTAAACGAAGGCAATATTTTTTGAACATCCTATACACAACTGTATTGGAAGAAATCGTCACTAGAATGATTTAAATCTGTACTGTCGAATGCCCAGATAACAACACTAGAGAGTCTCTCTGCCGACAAGTTTTCCAATATAAAGTCGATATTTGTTCTATATAAATGCCAAAACATTGAAAAAATTCACTGCAACAGGCCCTCAACATAGTACTGTTGTTATCAAGGCACTTGGTTGTCACTTTAGTGAATGACGACTTTTACAAAAAACGTAGTTACGAAAAATATAAATAATTGTTACAAAGAGCGGACTTGTCTATTTTTTGTGCAGATATTTTTATCAAATCAAACTTTGATTTCCATTTTTCCATTTCAATATTTTACCTTTCTCACAATTAAATTTTACTCGGTCTTTTATTTGTAACTAAAGGCGAGTAATTAAATCATGTATACAATTTTTTTATTAGTTAAAAGTTTACTAAAATGTTTAAACTGTAATAGTTATTAATAGCAGTTTCCGTAAAAAATCTTATATTTTGTTTTACTTTAACAAAAATGATAGAAGATTGTTTAATATACAATCTTTTTTTAGAAAAACGTATTATATATAAGATGTTATTCTTTCATAAGAGTTTTTACTACCTCATATTTTTCTAAAAATATTTAAATTTGAGAAATTAAAATTGTCATTATTAAATTTTTTATATTTAATTTCTTTTATTTCTTTTTTGCTAATTTTAAGTCTTGAAAATAATATACATATTGTGAATCAAAGAGTGTAAACATAAGAGTTCCAATCTTCTTTAATTTAATTTTTAATGCCATCTATATCCGGTAGGGTAGAATTAGAGATAAAATAAGATAAATATTACTGAAACTTTCGCTTAAAACCTTTTTTTGAAGTTTGACCGATATCTTATAATGATTCTGTTTTTTATTCTTACTAGATCTTGTAATAGTATTAAAATTTAATTATCAATTTTGAATCGATCATGTTTGCAGCCGAACAAAATCTTCCAAGCATCTCTGCAAAATCACATGGCTGATTACATTGCCATTAGCGCCTACAAACGTCAAAAACGATCGATATTTCAGATAGTTCTGTAACGATTTTCTGATGCGTGCTCCTGTCTGGATGCGCTTCCGATATCGAAATTAAATGTTTTTGTTTAGCGAATTATTTCTTTATGTATTGAAACACACACAGCCCTGATTTTCATTAGACAATAAGAAATAAAGTACGTCGGTCATAATACCTACGTAAGAAAATAACATAAAACATTTGCACAAGTATTAAACGAATTCGAGCTTGAGATTGTTTTTACGTATGTTAGACTAAGAAGTAATTAATTAAATCCTGACGATTTTCTTTTGCAAATTGCGTAGTTTATCATAGAGGCTATATTATTGATAACATTACACTGTTTTATAATATACGTTTGTAGATTCCTAAATTAGTTTTATTTTTTCTTCTTCATTTTTTAAATAATATATGGTTTTAAACATATAATAGAAGTGTATAAGCCGACACGTCTCTCTGTCTGTAAAGCAGACTATTATGCTAACTTAATCTTTATAGTTTTGCACTATAGTGTCAAATAGTCATATTGAACCTGAAGGAAATCGTATATTTATTTATTTTTGAAAAAACCAAAGTGATATGTCGATATCGGTGAGCTTCTTCTACAACGTATAGTTCTATCACATTCTCAAGAATAGTATTTAGAAGTTAGAAAAATAAAATAATGATAGGCGAAGGGCGTTGTATCAACCGGTTCGCACCTCGCACATACATATACTTGCACTTACGATCGCGCATTTCGCTATCGCGGTTTTTATGACTAGAATAAATTTCGTCGCGGAACGATCTCTTGAGCGCCGATATCGAACTCCCGCACCCGTCTCGCGTGCACAAATGCACACATAACACCGCCGCTGTCCCCTTACGTATGACATGCGCGCAGACAGCGATTTAAATTCCGGAATAAACGTTACGGCGATGACGAGTTACGTTACGGGGATCGAAGATCGATACGATCGACACGACGATCTCCTTTCGACCGATATGCCGCCCTGAAAATGTGAGAGGTGGGATTAAGCTTTGAGATATGGGGATGATATAGTGCTTTATCGGAGAGTCGAGCTCCAAAGCGCTAAATGTTTCGGGAGATCGACGGGATCGCTATGTAATACATGATAAATTTACCCTTTTGCTTAAGAAACGAAAAATATTTGTATAGACAAATCAGGAGGACAATTGTGTATATATATATATATATCTTGAAATGAAATGAAAATTACAATAATGAGCAAATACACTAAGTATTGACTAGTGAAATTATAAACATTCTAGTGAGCTTAGTCACCTTTGTAATTTTTACTTCATTTTAAGATACGTGATAAGTGAAGTTGCAATCTTAGCGGCGATAGTAATGCGACAATACATATTTTTGTACAATTAAACATTTACTAAATTATTTCAAACTTTTTTAAAATAACGCGCATGTATACTTACTAGATTTTTTCAAATTTTAAATAAAACTATCGATATTCTATAATCGGTAACAAAGAATTTAAAAAATTATATTACGAAACTATGTTTGATTGGATTTTTTTTTTACGAAAATGAGAATTTTTAATATGTTTAATTAACAATTTAATAGTAGTTCAAAAATGTATTACATATATATTATTGTAGTATATATGTATATGATTAATAAATGAAAAATAAAAGACATTTAAATATACATACATTTTTAAATCATAGGTACGATTACATTTTATTTAACTGATTTTAATCTTGTGAACATGTAAAAAATGTGTATATTCTTTTATATTTTAGATTCTGTATTTTGCAGTTTTTGACACATAAATAAGATGTTGATGTATCTAAAATGTATTAAAAGTGTTAATTGATTAATTAAGTTAAATTTATGCGAATAACAATTAAACAGTATTTGAATGCTTTGGGTCATACTTAAAATAATAGGAAATATAATTATTTTATGAATATCCAGAAAATCGGTTATTAGATAGCTATTATTTAAATTAGAACCGTTTAAATTAAATTAGATAGAATAATTATGTTATTTGGAGACAACACGATTGAATTTTAAATGAGTTGACGAGGCAATCAGATAAACTCTTATAAAATAAAGAAATTTTATGGTACAATACATGGCAAATATATCATAGATATGTCATTTTTAACTACAGACACTTCAAATTTTACAGTTTTTTTTTTCAAAAAATTTGAAGCGCTAATAAGTTTTCAATATACAATCGGTGGTTTTGATTCAAATTTCAAAGTGGTTGATAAATATTTGCAATATCTGATTTTGTTATACTTTTTCCCATTGTCAGAATGCTGTATAGAAAAAGAAAAGCAAGGGAACATTGAATGCTGCTTAAATACGAGATGATAACACAATTTATTTCTGTTATTAATGTTTTGTATTGAATATGTTGTTATAAAGCAAAGTTCGATCTTTTTAAAATCCGTCTATTTAACAACTGGTGTATACTGAAGAATGAGCTGATAACAATAGCGACGATGAAAGCTATGAACATCTCTTGCACCGAGCTTCACGATGAAGTGGTGCAGGGAGCGAGGGGCAGGACAGATTCGCACGGACAGTATTTGCATTCTAACGCGTACACGCGTGCGCAAACATCTGTGTGAGTGCGAGTGTGCGTGTAGGTTAGATTTACATATTTGTTTCGGCATAATGAATTCCATGCATGGTCAGCTGCTAACCACGCAAAAGTTATTACGGGTACACAGATTACAGGTCGCGTCCGCGTGCGACTTGCCGCTCGGGCAAAATCGACCGGCAACAACGCGCTCTTGTTTTTATTAATTTGGTTTGCAAAAATGTTTAATATTCCCCGGAGTTGTATTTAATCGTTCGGAAATGTCGTTATTTAATTTGGAGATTTTTGCTCACGGTAGAAGTTTATCCAATTAAAATTTTGCTCTATGTATTTGCGCAGGTAGTTCTCTGGAGAAAGGGAAAAAAAGAGAGTTACTTGAGAAAGTTTGTAGCTATGCAATTACGCGCGATACGATCCGCCGATATATTACATATTTTTCAAATGTTTGTGAATATTCCTAGAAATCACGCGGTTCTCTCTCTTTCCTGTTTAATTTTTTTTTTTTTTACAAATTTCAATCATTTATTTTTTGCAGTTCTCTCATATGTCAAACATACATAGAATGGTTTATTTAAAAGGATTCACTCGATCGCTTCCATTACTGAAAGCTTTATGCCGGATGTGTTTTTCACATAGAATTTACTCCATTATTAAAAAAAAAATCCATAAACCATATTTTGTAAAGATATTTTTAAAATTATTTTAATATATCCGAAAATAAATGTTTAAATAAAGCTATATGTTTTTATACGTACGAAAGTATTAATGAGACTTTTCTCTGAACTCGCTTATAACTTATCGATAAATATTAATTACCGTTACAATTGTTACAAACCATGTGTTGAATTATTATTATATATATTAATTACTTAAAAAATTATATATTATCTGTATATTTTAAAAATTAAAGAAATTTTTTTTAGCACATTGTTAACTGCGTTGACTCGCTATCTATATTGTTCTTCTTCAATCATGTTTATTTAAATTTCGAGAATTTATATTAAGTTCATATTTTAAATTTGAAAATATTTAATAAATAAATAATGCAAAGTTTACATCAAAAATAAAATAATAAAAGTAACAGAAAACTTGTATGTTAAAATAATATATTTAGTATAAAACGGTTGGAAAATTGATATTTTTTATGCGAATTTATTAAAGCCTATAAAATATAATTGATCTTTTACATTTTTTGACAGGTATCTCTATGCACAAGGGTTATGCATTCGTGCAATTCACAAACCCGTTTGACGCACGTAGTGCGTGCCTCGGTGAAGATGGTCGTACCGTCCTCAGCCAGATTCTCGGTGAGTAAACTCTTCTATTCTTTTGCCATATTATTTAGAGAGTTGTTTAAAGAGACACAAAAGAAGGTTGGACGTGCCATATTCCTAGCAAATCAAGCCTCGTTGAAAAATGTTTTATGTAGCTTGTAACGTTGTAAAAGATATTATTACGCATTCTATAATTACACCATGTTCTTTACTTGTATCGTGCATTTCATAATATTTATACTATACAATGTAGAAGAGTATTTTGAGTATAATGACATTTTTATAAAAAGAAAAAGATTGCTTATTCATAGAAAATCTCTAAAGTGACAGGATTATGGCGATGAAAGCCTTTTTTTATCATATCGAATATATTGACACATTGTAAAGCAATAAAGAAACACAACGATGGAAAAAGGGCTTCGCATTAATATGCAACGACGCATAACGCCGGCAATATAGGGAATCGCTTTGACATGATCATTTATTCAACACTTGGAAGAAAGTGTATCACTCTTTGCGTTTAGCGGTGCGAAATAGACATCGAGCATATTCTATAAGACATATTTATGACTCGCGTCAAAATATAAAGTGTCGCAAGCGACAGACATTGAAAGTGCAATACTGAAAATATTAAAGAAACGTAAATTTTTCGGATAATATTCTATCAACTTTTTTAATGAAATTATCTTTCCTAATTTGTGAAAGGGATAAAAATGTTACATTTTTGTACATGCAATATCGAAATAATTTTATAATATAATTAATGGAAATTTTGCTTACATAATTTTCCATTCGCAAATATTGTACTTTTAATTCGATAAAGCGAATTCAAAATGCAGCTGTCGGACGTTAAGTATAATATTATTAAGAAAATCATGGACTTCGATGATCTATGTTATATTGTATCAAAGGAGAGATATCTTGTAGAATGATTTATAAACTCGTTGTATCGAAGTGCAAAAGAGTGGTTTACTTAGTGAAAAGTCACTCACGTGGACGTAAATTATGGGAATCGCGTGTATTTCTCTTTGCTTCTGACAACCTAATCCAGCATAGCTGACGTGGGTAAATGCCGGTCCTTAAGATATTAAATTAGAAACACCGCATTCGCATTAGGACGAGCGGAAACTACGGAAACCTTTCTGTAGCCGGTCGTAAGGATATATCCCGCCGATCATTTGGTTATGACACACGGCATAGACCATCTTACAAAGGCAGGGCTTTTGAATAAACCGTACGCGTGAAATAAACAAACAGCGAGGATGGGATTGAAATCCGGGACTTAACGCTGAGTGCAGTAGCACACGTGCGGTTACCATAAAGCATCGTAATCGACCGAATAAAGCAGATCGTATAGCTCTTTGTCGTAATAACACTATGTATATGTATAGCAATATTATAATTACAATACGTAATTAGTATATATCATTAGTAATAATAAACTTAATTTTATTACAAAATTAAGCCTTATTACTAAAAATCCTATATCAAAAAAACATAATTTTGAAATATCTAAAATTTTTAGTTAAATACAGACTTCAAAATAATTTCTTTGGATGAAAATAATTTTGTTGAATTATTAAAATAATTATAGGTTCATCATGCTTTAGTCTTCTAATTATCTTACAAAATCTGAACAAAATTCTAACAAAATAATCTAACAACATTATTTTTAAATCTGCACCTAATTCAGTTTTTAAATATATATATTTCAGTAAATACATTCTCTCCATATAATTACGTTAGTCTGCCCGTGTTGGATAGAAATGTAAATCTGGTCGAATATCTAAAGAAGAGATACAAATAGATTATTTAAATGATTTCTTTGCCATTATACTAATAGCACATGTATAAAGGAATTATTCGAATAACCTAGCTTTTTTTTCTTTAATATATTGATATTCTCAACATTCATGCATGTTATCAAAAGAAGATAAGTTAAAAACTGTTTTTCGGTTAAAATGAAAAGTTCTAAGATATACGAGTTATATATATCACATTATCATAAGAGCTATTATATTAAAGTGAAATCAAGTGATGTGTCACTTATCTTGGGGAAACATCGAGAATATGGAAGGAATCATGGTTTCTTTAATATTTTATCACGATATAAAAGTCAATAAATCTAATATTACGACATTTATTAATAAAAAGTTATTAGTAAGACATCAAGACAGCCTAGGCACTATATTATTACTCACACATATAATTTAAAGGAGATTTTCAAGAGATTGAAGAGTCCGATAAATAATTGTTTTGTTTCGAATTCTACCTTTGAATATAACGAATACATTCATCTAGTTATAGAGAAGTTCATCTATTTATTTAATTTTTTTTATTAAAAACACTAATTTTTTTGAATTTTCAACGTATCTCGATATATTAATTAACAAAAAAATTTCTAAATTTTTTGTTTTGATTTATATCAATATATATATTACATCTTATAACGCGATTTCTTTCCTCGATGTTTTTCCAAGATAAACGATACACCCTTTAATACGATACATTATTTGTAAACCTAAGAACCTTTTATTTTAGCCAAAAAAGCCCTAATTTAACATCCTCCTTTGTAATAAGCAGATGTAAAAATGTATGAGGCTTCTTTATAGTATATTTATGCGGAAATTTTGGGAAATAATCTAGAAATCAAAGTGTATGTGTGCGGATGTGTGTGTGTGTGCAAGAGATATAACACGTATATCGGATGATGTGCACGATTTTATTTTATTGCTTTTATATATGTATTTTACTTTTTACAATATCAATTTTTATTTCGCAATAGATGAGTATATTATATACAGATATTATATATGGAGTTTAAAATGTGAAAGGACTGTGATCCTTATGGAGCTCGTAGCGCTCTGAAATATTCGTACGTTTATTTGTCATCTATATGAAAAACGTTCATGAGATTTTCGAACATGCCCATGGGACATGTGAGATTGTTGAGGCGTATCCTATATGTCCCTCGTATAATCCATGTCCTTCATGTCGTACATGTGCCACGTATGCTACCTCTCGAGTATCGAATGCGCGTATCAGCATCGAATTTTTCAGAGTATTCTTCCTACCTCGTCGTACAACCTTTTTCGGCTATCTCTCACACTAGCTACTTCTTTATGCGAGTGTTTCTCACAGACTCATGTCTGTGCAAACACACCCTTCAACCCGTTCTCCGACCGAGTAGAGAGTTACCTTCCGCAATCTGTTAATTACACACATGTGATATACAGATATTAAATTAGACGAATACGTTACGTTGTATCTTACGCGAAATGAGAAACATGATCCATTCGAGAAGCATACGAATTTCCATAGAACATTTTTAACTTCATGTAGAAATCTTAGAAATTAATGATCTTTTAAATTTTTTCGAATTTCTGCAGTTTGTAAATTACGTTCCAGATTCGAGCGCAGTTCAGCCCTTTTTACTTTTGCCCAAATATTTCTCTCTGTTTCCGCATTATAGAGCGCGCAAGAGCTGTCCACCCTCCTATTTCTAACCCACTTCCCTTCCCTCCTCGCCCCTGCGGCAAGTCGCACTTGTAAATGCACGCCATCGTCCGCGCGCTCGCGCCCACCCGCGTGTGTACGTGCTTGTCCGCCCTGGAGGTAGGCGAAGCATCGGGTGAACCGCCGGAAACACAGTTCTTGCATTAGCCGAAGAAAGATTTCTGGGGTAATCGTGGCGGAGAAACTGCCATCCCGGGAGAGAGCGATGGAGGGAGGGAGGGAGGGAGAGCAGAGAGCGAAAGAGAGAGAGAGAGAAAGAGAAAACGAAGAAAGAAAGGACGCGCGTGCGCGCTTGTCGTTCTTATTGGCGCGGGTTAGACCTACGGGGATAGGGGTGGCAGACGGGAGGATGGTTAGCGACGGCTAATTCCATTGGGTGTGCGAACGAACGGAGTAAAAGAGTTCCCACGCGATAAGCTTTAACCCTTTGACGCTGCTTGTATCTCCCAAAAAGCGAATCGATCTTTTCTACTGGGTGACGCGAAAAAGACGAAAAACGCCCAACGATACCCTCGAGTACTCTAAAAAAAAAAACATCCCCGAGAGAGATTGAACGTAAGCGAGCCTCTCGATTTCGGGTAATTTACTACTTTGTCACTACACGTACTTTCTAAGACAACAAGAAACGAAATTAATGAAATAATATTGTCTTATATTTCAAATTTTAATGAAAATGGACGAAGAAGATTCTGGTGATCATGTTAATCACACTTTCAATTATCTCGGCAACTAGAAACTATAATAGATTCAACTAAAAATTTTTTGATTTGTCCATTTCTAACTAAAACTCCAGTTAATGCAACCAGACTTTTTCCAATGTATTAAAAATTAAAAATACTTTTTATTAAAAATTAAACACAGTCTCCAACGTGGATTTTATTTTGTATGAAATTTTTTTTCTGATATACGTACATCTTTCTATATTTCATATTTTTCAGAACATATATAGCTTCAGAACGTATAGCTTAATTTTCACGAATGTCGCGTATTTGTAGATTTGTGCAAAAATGCTTTCAATTTTTTTTTTTCAATTCCAGAAGTTCTGGAAAACTCAGATGAATATTAATTGTGATATTCACTTCGCGAACGTCATCAACGTTTAACGTCGACTATCCGGAAGACGAGGGTCACATGACGAGAGTAATGCACGGCATATGCAAATACCGTGTGGACGATGATTTATTATACTAATCTCGTTACGAATTAATGTGCTGATTTATGATGGCGCGGTCCTTTTTCACTCTTCGCAAGGTGTCCTGGCGACGCCGCATGAAAACGTGGCATAAGTCATCCCCGTCACACGGATTTTTTCAAAGCTAACCACCCCCCGCTGCGTCCCCCAAAATATCCGTAAATCTAACACATTCGTATATTAAAATTTCCAGAAATTCCCATATCTTTTTGCAATTTTTTGTTGTGGCAACAATCCTTAATTAACCAAATGAAAATCAAACAGTGTGTTGAATTATGATTATAAAATTTCATTTAATACATAAAAAGTCTGTAGGATATTTTAT